CGTATATGAATAACATATATCCAAGGGGGGGGGAACAAAACTAAAAAAAAACCAAAATATTAACAATTACCTCTTTGCAGCGTGATGACTAGTGATATATTTCTTCTATTATTCCTTTTAATATTTTTTGAGTACTACTATGCACTAGGCATTAAAAAAGATGGGTCCCTGCCATCGAGAGGCATACCAGTTTTCTTTATACTTTTCCACACTTTCCAAATTTTCTATAATAAGTATATTACCCTTTCATAATCTTAATAACCATAAAAATAACATAGAATGGATGCTAATTTTGGCAAATCAGCTACAAAGCAACATTTTGGGCTCAGCTAGGGAAGAATTTGAATATGGCCTTGAATACTGGTTTAGATAAAAGTTTCCTGACATGGTAAGAGGAGTCTAGTTCACTAAAACAAAACTAAAAACCTAAAAAAACAGTATGTTCAATAAGATTCATTTTGGTAAAAAGCGCACACATATATGGAAAGATATGTACTAAACAGTTAACAGTGGGGATCTCTGGGTGGTAGAAAATTTTTTTTTCTATAATACTCCTGTATGCTTCTGTGCTAAAAGACTTTTTAAAAATTAAAAAATATATATACATCCACTATTACTGAACTTCTACGACATACAAAACTTCTAGATTCAATAAACAGCAGAACTGAGTAAAAGGAGTCATCGCCTTAAAAAAAAAAAACTAACAATTAAGGGGAACAATTAATACAACAGTAAAAGTAATTAATGCAAGGTAGAATATAAATATAATTTGGAGTAAAAGGTAGTTATAAGGACTCTAAGATCTCCCCTGACTAGGAAGAGGAAGAGTGATGAAATGAGGAAAAAGCTTCATGAAGGAGAAAGAATTTGAAATGGGAAGAATCTGAAATTAGATAAAGTATGGGGCAAATGTCAAGGAGCTGGAAGTTACACAATAGAGTTTGGTTAGAATGCAAGATATATGAAGGGAGTAAGGCAGTATGCAAGCGCCTTGAAGTTCCAGAAGGTAATAACTAAGTTTTTTGAGTTTAGCAATGAGTAAATTATTAAAGGTTCCAATTTGAGAAACTGTCCCACCACTTCTCATCACCTCTATTGCCACTATCATCTTGTTTCAAACTGCCACCATCTCAGATTAGCTGCATCACTGTAACCACTTCCTAACAGAATCTTCTTCTTCTCTTGCCAGATCCTTTTAAAACATAGATTATGTCATACATCTACTAAAAACCCTACAATGGCTTCCCATCTCACACAGTAAAAAGCCTGCACCACTGGAATTTCTACCAAGTTCCTACGCCACTGTGCTCTCACCCTCTAACTCTGATTACATCTACTGTTTCTCCACTTGCAATTTCTTGGATATTCCAGGCATACTTCTGCTTCTACCACTCTTCCCATTATTCCATCCACCTCCTTCAAGTCTTAAGACTTCTCTGACCCAATCCTATATGAAATAGAAATTCCCACCAACCTCCCACCCCCCCGCTCAATGTCGAAGTCTGTACTCCTCTATTCCCCTAAACTGATTCTATTTTTCTCCATAATACTTAACATCATCTGTCATCTCTATATTTGTCTCCATATACATACATAAACAAGCATGTGTGCACACAAACATATATAAAACTGAAGCTCCACAAGGGTTTTTTTCCTTGTTTGTTCATTTCAGACACATAGAACAGGGCCTGACATCCAGCAAGTGCTCAATAAGTATTTGTTGTATGAAAAAAATAGGAAGAGAATACATGGTGTTAGTATTTAGTGGAATGGTTTGTGGCATATTGTAAATATTTATACAAATAGAATCTACAGTGAATTTATTCTAATTTACTTGATTTTTCTCTGAGAACTATTCACCAAAATAGTGCTTGTAAATTAAGCTTTGAGTATACAACCTTTAAATTATTAGCAGTTTATCTTTGCAAAGTTTACTTAACTTAGTTATTTGGAATGGGTGATGGTGACTAAGGAATGCTAGGACAGAGTCTTAAATCTCCTTTTCTTTATATTTTATTCCACCCAAACTAATGAGTAATGACTCCCCACCTCCCAGATACTGTATACTTTTACACCTTTTCCCTTTCTCAGGGAACAGATCTAATCCAGACCTATGAGTCCCTATCCTAAGGTAAGGCCAGAAATAGAAACTAGGAGTGTGATGCAGGGTTGTTGAGATGGTTGGCAGCAATCAGAGGAGAGCCAGGCAAAGGGAAGTTATTGCCAAGAAACCTCAAGAGGGCAACGATACTTAATTTAAATACTTTCAAGTTATAGGTTCCTTCTATTTTAAAAGGAAGTCAACACAAAATAATAACTAATTCCTTCCCCATCCTCTTTTAAAACATACTATGCTGAAAGACATAGCAATACTTAAATAGCTTTTTAAATGAAAAACTTGAACTTTTTAATTATGATTTCATACCTACAACAAAGTTTATGGGGCTAAATGTAAAGAATGATCAAGTATCCACCACCTAGCTGTGCTGAATCTTAATCTTTTTACCAAATCTGCTTCAGATTTATTTTAAAGACAGTAAAGCTATGGTTGAAAACCCATGGCCCTCCCTTCCTGGATCCTTATCCCTCTCCAGTTCTCCAGAAGTAACTTTTATTCTGATTCACTATCATTCCCATGCATGTTTTTATACTTTTGCTACATACTCCATGATTCCAAGAAAATATATTGCATAATTTTGCGTGTGTTAATAGTATACTATTTCCTGTCACCTACCAGCTGTTTGACTTTAGGTGAGTTACTTAACATTTCTGTGCCTCACTTTCCTTTCTGAAAAATGGGGATAATACTATCTACTAGCTTATAGAGCTGTGAGGATTGATTGAGTTAATACACTGTAATAAATCACTTAGAAAAGTTATCTCGCTCATAGGAAGCAGTGTATATCAGTTCGTAATTATATAAAGTTGCAAAAGGACCTGTGTTTGTGTGTGTGCACATATGTATGTATATATGTGTGTGTGTATATACAAATGGATTGAGAAAAGATTAATTACCAAAATGATATATGTAATCCAGATAATACCAAGTATTTTCAAAATTGCATAAAAACTAGAAATACTTTAGAAGTTCAGACAGGTAAGGTTCACTAGCCTACTTAAAGAGAAATTGAAAGTGCTTACAAATGATTGGTAACACTAAATTAGAATACAAACGTTTGATTTAAATAATTTATAACTGTTTAACAATACCTAAATACTTAACGGCCTCCTGTTTTGGGTGTAGGGTTGGGAAAGGAGTATAATCTGTCAATATAATGCTATTTAAAGACTTCTTAAACTGTTAAAGGAGGCACTTAAAATTTCACACAAAATTAAACATTGATACTGTAATTTTCTAAATTTGTTTTTAACTAACAGTAAGCAGAACAGATTAATATTTTAAATGACATAATATGATTCACCTAGATTATAAGATTTTCGTAAAGGCAACTGGATTCCGTAAAATTTATCAATGGAATTATGGACACATTATCTTTGTTGCGATGTGAGATTATTTTTATAACAGTCTCTAGATCAAAACCTTGGAAAACATCAAGACTTAAATGCTCTACGTATTTTGTGAATTCTAGTCAACTTCTTTAGAGCTTTTTTAAGATTTAAAAATATATCTATGCTTTGAAGATCAATTAATATATCTGGCTGATACAAAAATAGAGGAATTAGGTCTAATGAATATTTACTAGGTGCCACTTACTGGGCTAGACGTTTTACATAGGATCTTTTAATCACGGACAAAATTAGAAGACAACCAAAGATACTTTGTTTAAACACGTATACTTCCGCAAAGAGTTAAAAATGACTACTACAAAAGCCAACATTCAAGCCAGGAAAGCGCATAAAATGTAGATAAACTGTACAAACTTGATTAACACAATTGTGTTGAAACATTGTTTCCCCTAGAGTTAAGCACATATCTGTGTCTAAAAGGTTAACTGAAAGCAACAATTAAATAACATCAGGGATTAAACTGTCCCCTCTTCCCATCCTCCAAAAACCAACCAACCCCCCCCCCCAAATCTCGAGTACGATACCATAGCTAGTTTTTAAAGAGAAGATTAAAGTTCAAAAGTAAAGTTCTACTTTCTTCTCCTAAAGTGAGAACTTTGCTTTTCATTTATCTTCCCCGTCCCCTGCCGTCTACTAATAAAATATTTACGAGTTAATCATTTCCTGGCTCCAAAAGATTCAGTGGGAAACCAAGCTATAACTTGCATTAACCAACAAGAGAAAAACCTAGCCATGCTCGGTACTTTCCTAATGAAGAAAGGGTCCTATCGCCATTCACCCTATACTGTGTCCCTTAAGGGCCCAAGCAAGACATCAGCACCTGCCGAACTGGGAGCTTAAAGAATAATGGTCCAACTTTTCAAATGCAATCCTGGAAGAAGACGCAGATTATCTCTTGAGTAGTGCAAGAAGGAAGCAGGTCCTCTCAGGGCCGTCTCCTCTGCCTGCTGGAAGATTCAAAATTCGCTTGCTTCAGAGACCCTTGGAAGGAGTACACTCCAGTCGCGGCCGGCCTCCGGCCTGGGAGAAACAGGCAGTGTTTACACCTGTCACGAGGAGGGGCGGGGGGTGGGGGGAGAAAGAGAAAGCCCAAGCAAGCCCCAAACTTCTCAGCAGCTCCGGGGAGGGAGCGGCCGGCGCGGAGCTATGAGCAGCTGGAAAGAGAGGGGCAGGAAGAGTCGGCTGCGGCTGGGGAGGTGGGGACAGCTCGCACTTCCCCGGCGGCTGCCCAGGGCAGCGAGGAGGAAGCCGTCCGCTTCGGGCGCCGTCGCCGGCTTCCCCGCACCCGCCGCGGAAGAGGGCAGAGCCCAAGCCTGGAGCCCGCAGGCCCGCAGAGCCAGCGCCGTCCCCGTAGCCCTCAGCTCCGCGGTAGACAGGTGCCCCCGGCCGCGGCGAGGGGCTCCGGCGGGTGGGCCGGGTCCCCTCATCTTCTTCCCCGAAGCGTGGCTGGGGGAGCAGACGGTGGCGCTTACCTGGCTCGTCCGGCGCGGCCGCGATGGGCATGGCTCAGGGGCCCGGGGAGGAACTAGCTCCCCGGGGAAGGACCGGCTATTCCGACGCGGAGCTGGTGAGAGCGGAAGGCAAGCTGTTCGCAGCCCTGTCAGCGAGGCAGCGCCATGGACGCCCACCCGGAGTTTCAGCGTTGCCGCGGGACCCCCATCCCATTACCCTCCGCCCTCTTCCGTCGCCGCCGCCTCCACCTCCTCCTCCGCGGAGACCCCCCGCCCACTCCACACACTCTCCCATCATGCAGCGGGGGAACCGCTGCCGCCTGTACGTCATTTCCGGCCGCAGGTGGTTAGGTCGAGGCTGGGAGCTGGCGGTGCTGCGGGGGACGGGGGGAGGACACTCCAAGGGAATTGGTGTCACAGTAAGCTTACCCCGCGCAGGCGTTGTCGCGCAGAGCGCCGGCCGCCATTTTGGGTGAGGGCAAGTTGCCCTTTTCCTTTACTTCCTTGCGAGTCATCGAGCTGGGGAGGGCGGGGGGCGGAGAGGAGGAAGACATCCTTCCTCTGCTGTTCGAAGAGGCAGCGCTCCCCGCCGAGGGGTAGGCGCTCTTCACCTGGTTAACGTTAACGTTCAGCTCAGGACCAAGTAAAGCCTCTTGCTCTTCAAATTGCAAAGGGTTTCAAATACAGAATCGTATCTTCTCCACCAAAAACCTACTGGGGAGCAGTGCCTTTTTCTCTCCGAAAAACGACTTTTCATTTACCGTCTAAGTCCCTTCCTCTTTTTAATTTAGGTATCAGAAGAGGAAGCTGATAACAAATAAAGAGGAGATTTTATAAATTAAACTTAAGATGGGAAGCAAAAGAGAAAGCAGCCGCCGTACTGACAAATCGTCTTCGAGACCAATAAAAACAAAATACTAATTAGGGATTTTGCTAATGAATGGAGAAAGAGGTCGTTTTTCATAGATACTGTCGGGGACTCTGATGAAACGAAAGAAATCAAATCAACTGCATTTCTCTACCAGAGTTCATAACATTCTTCCATCAGTCTTGAGCAGTTGATCATTAGCATTTTTATAAGCTTTCCCACTCCTTTATCATGAAATATTAGAAAACCGGCCACTGTAAAATTCAGACTATAAGGCTACAAGGATTATTGTTATCGTCCAGGATGATGAGCTCGCGGTCTTACCCTACAAATCACGAGCCCTGTCGGGTGCTCTTCTCACAATTGACAAACCTGTATCGGTAACCTGAATGATTTAAAATAGTTCCGAAGAGCAAAGCTCAGCAGCTACGCAGAGAAACAAGGATGGAAAACACCCTCTTCAGCCACCGAGAAGTGTCCACCCCTTTAAGGGGAGGAATTACACAATTCAGGGAAGGTACGGACAAAAGCAGTTCATCACGGTTTATCCCGCCTCTGCAAATGTTCTAGACAAATTAACTTGGAGCGTTAAAATAGACCAGCATTTGTCTCTACAACTCAATCGCTGTAAGATATATGGAGACTGCATCACTTTAAATTGGAGTATCAATTGCTTTGTTTGGTGCTGGATATTTTTGTTATTGTTCAGTCACTAGAGCGAGAAAAATCTATATGGCTTGTCAAATTTATTCCTATTGTATTTCGCCCCCTGCTGGTTTAGCTCTGGTGCAAGCTTAAATATACCCATATATATGTCACTGTAAATGTTTATTGACCAGGAAGGAAAGAAAAAAAGTATTTGTGTGTAAACTGGAAATTAATTGATTTTAGATGAACACATACTTGTTTTAATCCAATAGCTCTACTAAACAGAAATATCGGAATAATGAAAACATATGGCAAAATCTTAAAGCAGACCCTACAGTAAGAAAATGTTTAAACTGAAATTTAAACATGAAGACATTAAAAAGAAAACTCTGATTTCAGAAAAATATCTTCCTGATTTTTCACATAACATATGACTACAAAATGATGATTTTTGTTAGGTAAATGCAGAAGCCAATCATTTGAGGACAACAATTAAGAAATTAGCGTTCAACTTTGTCCGTGGAACTTGAGTAGCTATTTGACCAGCTGACTTGTGAGTGCAATCAATCAAGTAATCTTACACGTGATTCTGAAGACACCATTTCAATACTATATGAAATTATATTACAAAAGTAAAGTTTTTATCTCTAAATGTTTTTAAGGTGATGAATCTGTGGGAAATATACTGACTAAAATTCATTGCATTTGGTTCCAATGTGTTTACTTTAAAAAAAAAATAATGACCATAACTACATTACCTAAGATTTTGCATCAAGAAAAGAATAAATGACCAGTTATCATTTGTTGTATTTACTTTGTTTTTTTCTCCAGTGCAGACTTTTTACAAAGTTGTAATTGTAACGTTAGTTGATTTCGAATCCCTTTTTTTCACTTAAATTATATCGTAAGCATTTCCTCCTATTAACATTTTATAACATCTTAATTTTAATTACACGCATAATATTGAATGAAGTAGACATACTATAATTTATCCATTATTCTATTAGTGAATATTTTCCATATTACAAATAATACTTTAATGAATATTTTTTTGCATGTGGCTTTGTCCAGTTTTAGGAATTTTTTCACAGTATAAAAATGATTGAGCCAAAGGCTGTGTATGTTTTATTGGCACTTGATCTCATATTGTTTTCCAAAAGACTATCAATTTACAATGCCACCAGTAATATAGAAATGTACCAAATTTACCACCTTTTCACCAGCAGTGGATAATAATTAAAAAAAAAAATAGATTGAATTCTACTTTATAGACTAAAGGTTGAAAGGAACTTAAACTCATCATATATTGTATAAGAAATCAACAAACAAGCACAAAACCCCAACAATGTGTTCTGGGAAAGTAACATACATACAGCTATACTTATGAACAAACTCTATTCAAATCACTTTTTATTCAAAATCATTATGATTTTGTATAAATTACTTAACCTCTCTGGACCTCAGTCTCTTTACATGACAAATGAGAGAGCGAAACTAGACCACATATTCTCAACTCTTTTAGGACAAATAACTACTGTATATAGCACATATATTTCTTTGAGAATATGGCCAAAGCTTTGGCCCTTTCTGCAGAAAATGCTCATCCCACACAGATGCTCAAATTTCTCAGATCCCCCATAAGGCTCATTCATGGAAAAGGGTCTGTGAACCACAGCTTAAGAAACCCTGCACCAGATGATCTCCAAGGTTCTTTTCATATCTAAACATGTTTCTGTGATTTTATTTTATAACCCAGTAAACACTTTCTGGCTAAATAATATTTTTTAGTGGATAAATAAATTTTGATATATTCATAGATAGATTACTATTCAGCAATTAAATAAATTAGAGCTGTAAGTATCAATATGGTTAGATTATAAAAACAAAAATGAATGAATTTTTAGAATGAACGAGAATTTTTCAATGAATATTACTTTAAAAAATAAACCAATATTTTTTTATTTTTGGATATACATTTTTATGGTAAAATGTAAACATATGGACTGGAATTGATATACACAAAAGTCATTAGGGGCTAATATAGAACAGGTCAGAAAGCACTAAAGAAGACTCTGTAATTGCAATGTTTTATATCTTCTAAAAAAATCTGATGCAAATGTGACAAACCATTTACACTTTTTCCGGTGTTATTGACAACAATCATATATATTTAAGCTGTACACTTGTTTTATGATCAAACCATTTACATTTAATTCTATGTGGAGGATACATGAATATTCGTTTTATAATTCTGTTACATGTTCTATATGCATTTTTTCATGGTTAAAAAATAACTTTTTCAGAACCAGTTAATTTTAAACCATGAATTGTGAACAGCATCCTAGAGATAATTCTTGGTATCTTAGATTTGCAGAACTTTTCGAAGTGCTTTTAAGTATCTTATCTCTTCTGATTCTTACACAGACCTCTATAAAGATGATTAATACCAATTTACAGAAGATGTGATCACAGATTTTGGGATTTGTACAAGATTAAAAAATTAGAAATGGAATTAGGACTAGAACTGTAATTTCCTGATTCACAATTCTTTCCCCATACACCATTTAGCCTTCTCATTTTATAGAAGAATAATAATATGGTCTCTTAGTTTCGTTATAGAGAAAGAAAATTTGCTTCATTTTATCATTTAATATACTTTCCCCATTTTCTTCATGTTTGAATTATTTTCTAATGGAGTTTTTTTCTTCTCAGAATGATTATGGTTAACAAATGGAACAAGCTTTCACTATAATCTAAAATATTGTGTGTGTACATGGAATTTAAGCCATTGAAAAATTTGCTGAAAAAGTTTCAGCAGCTTGAGAAATCATCTAGTCCAAAAGCAATCTCTTCTCCTCCTCCTTTTCCAATATTATAGATTAATAATGTCCTAAGAGGTTAAATGACAACAATGTCCTCTAGTTGGTTTGTAGAGAAGCAGAAACCAAGTTTTATTTTCCTAATCCAGAGTAATCTTTATTTTTACTTCACATTATTTCTTGTTTTTACAATCTTCTCTTTTTCGCCAAAGCACATAAGAAACTAAAACTATTTGGGACCTATATAAATTCATTTTTTATATGCTTAGCTGTCTGTGGCCGTAATATAAGACGTGCTGAAGATAAACATTCAGGTCAGATATAAATTATGTTAATCATATGAAATAAAAGTATAAAAAGAAACTTGTTTTATAATAAGAATACAATTAAACTTTTTGTTGTTAGTGTTTTTATTGCTGGTCTGATGGGAATTTCACCATTTAATACTTGGTGAAAGTGTGATGAGCAACAGAAGATTTTGTTTCTTAATCATTCCTACCAGTCTTTCTTGGCTTGATTATTAATATTATTGCATAAATGATGAAAATTACAATTTAATGTGATAATTTCTGGACTATTGGATTGCTAGAACATTCCAGAGAAATATTCAATACATCAGGGCAGTACAGACCTTTACAAGGATAAAGTTTTGAAAGATAGGCTCCTGGGGGTAGGAATTCACATTAATATGTAACATTTAAATTAAGGACCTTAAAGACAGTTCCTAAACATAGAGGAAGAAGGGCTAATGCCTAAACTTGACTCCTCTTCAGCTGGCATTACTAACATGTTGAAATGACCATCACAGAAATAACTCCCTAATCGAATGTACTACTTAAAAAAAATAACTAGAGCTACATTATTCAATATGGTGGTTGAATATGCAGTTGTTAAGCATTCAGAATGTCTCAGTCTTTACTGAGAG